AATGTAGTTTTTGATACAGGACACTGTGATAATGATTTTGTATACCGTTTTCGACTTAATTATTCAGTCTCAGGGTTGCTATTGATTTTTGATGTCTTGCAGTGGTGCATCATGTTGATACCGACTGTTTTCTTTCTGTCCACGAACAGATCGCAAGCCATCACACAAGTCTTTGCTAGATGTGAGCTGGTCTGTCTGTCTGTGTGTCGTTGTGTTTTTTTTTCTTCTGTTCGCAGCCTCGGATTAGCAAAGGCTTTAAGAGTCTGGCGTTGTTTTTCTTATACGAGGCATTCGCGCACTTAATTTGTTCTAGACAAGGGAGGAGAGAGCGAGTTTGATACTGGATCGAAAGACTGTGTGAAGGGGGTTACATGTCATTATACTTTCTTCACCTTATCTGTTTTTAATTCTACCAGTCGGATCACCCACCAAACAGAAGCAAGAACACCCGGCTGCCGCCGGGTGCTCCTCCTTCTGTTTCACGGCCCGGCTTCGCCGGGCCGACCTGGCTTCGCCAGGCACTCTTCCCTTGGGCGAGGTAGAATGCGCTAAATGTGCCAAATGGTGGCAGTTATTTTTTTATCAAAATGTAGGAAAAGGTTGAAAATAGCTCAACATCAGTCATTATCTACCAACATCTGGTCCCTCTTGCTTACTACAGACCTTCAACCGTGAGAAGGCTGCACCATATCATTAAGGACCGCAGTTGCGACATCAGAATGGGTAAAGTTGAATTAGTCCGGATGAGTCCTTAACACCCGGAAGAGGCATAACTGCAGAGTCATGGGTGGCACTGAAAAGGATAACTTCGCATCGCTTGAACATGTCAAAGTGTGTGTCACCCGTCACCAATGTCCTCATCACTGAATCTCTATGATTTGGTAGCGTGAACCACCTTGAACAGCGACGACGACTGCAACTTCCCTTATCAGCCCCTATCAGTAGTTATCGCTTCCAGTCACCCACGGTTGATGTCCCCATCTCACCCTCTATATCACTTGCTGAAACGTACGCCTCGCTGATGCTGTCACCCGCGTTATGAATATGGTAACCTTCTCCTTCTAGGCCCCTTATCGAATCTTATCAGCAGCTTACGTTCTTGTCACCCACCAATATTTCTCTTGGCCCATTTCTCTTGGTCTGTTTCTCTTGGTTCTTAGGCGCTGTTTGTCGACGGGGTGGGGCATTTTGTACTATCATTGCTTCCTCAGTTCCGGTTTACATGTCTCACTCTGGCGAAACCTGTGAACTCTTGTGAAGCTGGAACAAGGTAGTCAAGCCATCATGTTAAAACCTGTCAACTCGAGATCTGCCGACGCGTAGATGTGAAGTAGCAAAAGTGCAAAATGCCCCCCCCCCCTCCGTCGACAAACTGCGCCGTGTTCTTGCCCCGTACCCTATATCATATCTTAAAATCAAGAGCTAGCTGATGCTGTCACCCGCGTTATGGATATGGTGACCTGCCCTTTCTAGCGGCTCTTATCAGATCTTATCAACTGATATCACTTCCCACCAGTAATGTTCCCGTCACACCCCCTACATCACTTCTTGGAATCAATGTCTCACTGCTACTGGGACCGGCGCTATGAATTTCGTGACAGACAGACAGACAGACACACACATACACACACACACACACTGACAGACATTAGCGAATCATATATAGTAGGAAGGTCTATGGTCTATCCAAAGCCAATTCAATATTCGACATCATTTGTAACACATTTACGCTCTCACCACTTAATATTCATCAGTATCTTGTTCATAAAGGCTACAACAAGTATCGCATTATAATGAGTATCATATCGTGAAGATCGTGTCGTGTGAGTATCGTGCCATGTCGCCTGTACTGCACTATTCGTCGATATCCTCAATATTGATATCTTCTTTCGTCCTCGAGTGGACCGTGCGTACCTGAAAAAGGTAGCAGTTGGACTTGTATCAAAAAGGAATGATTGTAATGGTACAGTATGAAGAATGGCCGTATGGTACAGTTTGAAGAATGGCCAGTCATCGTTGTCGTGTAGCAGAATTGTTAGATGTAGTGCGGGAGTTGGAGTACACCTATGCTTGGTACCGCAGAGGCAGACGAACCAGGAAGTACATGTGCTCAGAGCATGTGTCGTTCTCTTGGCAGCCGCATGCAAACATTCGAAGAGTACTTAGTTTAGAGGCATCCGCGCCATTTCTTGCACTACACGAGGTTGACCCCAGAGAAATTCAAGGATCTTTTCTTGCGGATAGCCGGTCGCTGGAGCTTTCAACTACTCAGTTCTCACCCATATCATCGAAACACTCGCTAACCTTTTTGAGGTGATGGGAAATGCAAACGAACGATTCACCTCAAGATGCTTGTTATTTTAGGCTTTCTTCGAAAATAGGTGCTTTTGCGCAACAGAAACGACCCGTTTTTGGACCGAATTGTCACCTGTGATGAAAAGTGGATCATGTATGATAACAGGAGACGTTCCGGACAGTAGTTGGACGCCGACGAACCACCGAGGCAATTTCCAAAGCCGAATCTTCACCAAAAAAAGGTTATGGTCACAGTGTGGTGGTCATCGGCTGGTGTGATCCACTATAACTTTTTGTCACCAGGCCAAACCATCACAGCAGAGTCCTACTGTGAAGAAATCGACGAAATGTACCGAAAATTGCGTCAGCTGCAGCCAGCACTTGTCAACAGAAAGGGTCCGATTCTTTTGCATGACAACGCCCGCCCACACGTTTCACAAATCACTATCCATAAATTGAACGAATTGGGGGTTGAAGTTCTACCTCACCCGCCATATTCTCCAGACCTTTCACCAACCGACTATCACCTTTTCAAACATTTTCAGAACTTCCTTGCTGGAAAATACTTCATCAATCAGGACCAGGCAAAAAAGCCTTCGTGGATTCTCGACCACCCAGTTTTTTCTTTGATGGGATTTATCGACTGGTGTCACATTGGCAAAAGTGTGCTGATTCGAACGGTGCCTATTTCGATTAAATCCGATGAGTATTAAGAAAGTTATGATCGTTTAAAGTGAAACACTCAAAACGCTGAGAACTTTCCGGACAACCTAATAGCTCGTCTTTTTCGCTTAACCTTAAATTTTGATGTAGTTTTTGATACAGCACGAAAAACTCGTAGTCAAAAACTAAGTAAGTCAAGAACCAAACAAAATTCAATGTCAAAGTGAAAAAGAGGAGCTAGGAATCATAAGGAAATGAGAAACAGTGGAAAAGAATTGAATACAAAACACAAATACAAAATGAATAAATGAGGTTAATTGTAGCGTGTTCAAGGGCAGCAGCGCGCGTTGTAGCGCGACAATCAATGCGCGTTGAAAAGCTAACCAACTCTAACCAAACTCTGCGAAACTTCCAACCAACCGTGTTGTGTCCCTCTAGTAGTCGAAGTCGAGGACCGAACCTCTGGTGCTGTGCCTTTATCCAGAAGGACAGTTGCAATTTTGAGCATTTTGTAGTTCACGACAGCCTGATTGGTGACACGAAGTTGCGATGCCACCCAGTTTCCTAAATATCATCGAGTTTACAGCTGTTCATTGCGAGTTAAATCAAAAAGAATTCCGAACCAAATGAAAAGAATCTATCGTCTGAGCTTCTTGTAAAATCTTGTTGACAAAGTTTCTGAGCAGCAGCTTCGACTGCCGAAGCTGCTCTCCTGAGCAGATCTAGAGGCTCTGAAAATGAAGCTCTTCGGCGCAGCTAATTCGACGTATAAATTCATCTCAAACTGCTCACCATCGCTCTTGCGTTTTCTGCTAATTTTTTCATCCCTGCTGGACGCAGAAGGGCCAAACGTGGAAGTTGCGAGTTCAAAAACTTCTGGCCCAGATCTTGATACGCTAGAATAGAAACTTTCGGCAGAACTCAGATTTGTAACCATGCAAAGCTTTTCCAAATGTCCACATGATAACAGCTAAGTCAACACGCACCCGGAGAACTGCTCCTCTAGGAAGCTCATCTCATCATTGAACCGATTGTTTTTTCCTCCCGATCCAGTAGGCTGCGCCCTCCTCCTTCTCCACGTATCCTCCAGTTTTTTCCACATAGCTTTGAGATCTGCTACTGAAACACCAAACGGTTGAACTGCTATTGGTGTAGGAAATGCATTAGTGGGCGAAATTCGGCTTGTCAGGGGCGTGCATTAGTTCGCAAGGATCACTGCCTTTCGATTCCCTAGATAGTGACACAAGTTGTATACAGTGACTTCCCCACCGAAGTTTACAACTTGACTCAGCAAGGTGAAACCTGGAAGGGAGCATGAATTCAAAAGAATCTAGCGAACTAGCGGAAAATCCGTCTCCACCCCAGACAGGCCGAACCGCGCCCGCAGTCAAGTTGTACTCACAGCTCTGCTCATGTCCGTAACTACGCATTGATTCAAGAACTCTATCCCATGCGCGACTTTTGCAATCTTCATCTTTGTACTCATCGCTAGTAGCATTCCAGATAGCGGGCTCAAGTTCGATTTGCTCAATAAGATGAGTGCACAAATTCAGCCTGCCCATGACCTTAATATAGTAATACAACTGGAAGTGAACACCAATTCCAAGACTGTCTCAGATTGCGAGTGTTCCGAGATGTAAGGAGGCTAGAAAGTTCACTTTAATTGCCCACTACTATGAAATTAACTGTGTCCGTATTCACTTATCGTAACTGATCAGTATTTGCGTTATTTGGTTTCTTCTGTGCCATTAATGTTGTAACGCCTCACAATGTTCTGAGCTATCGAGTAGTTCATCAGAGGACTACTCAGGTTTAGAAACTGTACTATGAGTGGTACCAATGGTAATTTTAGGGATATCCTCGACAACCTGTCAGAAATGTGAGGGAAGGGAAGCGTTTCTCGATTCAAAGAGAATAATTGCAGGGCCAACACCACTCCGAGGAAGCAATCAAGCCAATACAGTCTAATTCTGCGGACGGTTGGGCGTGTCAGGCAGTATGAGTGTGCACAGCGTCGAAGCCGTTCTGCCTTCTTGTTGAAGCGCGCATGCGACAAAAAGTGGTAGAAAACGAGTAATACGAACGATATGATACAGTCATATCATTTGCTCGCTTTAACAACTGGTGGAGAACGGGTTTGGCACCGCGCCAAACTCATCCCGCCTGACACGCCCAACCGTCCGCAGCGAACTACACTATATCTCAGCCACAGATAGAGCTAACAACACGGCGCAAAAGAAGCCACCAACTATTACACTTTCATGCATTATTGTATTCTTTACTACTGTATTGTTACCATGTAATGTTGTGTTTCTAACAACTTTTCTCACTACAAATGATGATAAACATGACTCCTGCGTATAGGAGACTTGTGCAATACCACTCCATAGAAAGGAAGTAACAGCACGATATTTCCATTAAGAACCATGGAAAAGAGAAGCAGAAAGAAACCAACCCCGACGAAAAGTCTTCTTCAAAAGCAACCAGATAGAAAATAAGCGCGCAAAAACAAAGCAATCATATGAGCTGAAACAATCCGAGAGGGAAGTGAAAATGAATCTACCCAACAATGAGAATATGAAGATTAACGGTTGTTATCTCCTACAAGATGGAAATGAGTTGCATTTTCAGCATAGTAAGTAAAAAGAAATTCACCCACAGCCGGGTACAAGAGCAAAATGCTACCACGACATCATGACCATGGAACCTATGGGTCGTTGCGAAATTAGTCGTTGCGAAATCACATAGGTAGGCACAGCTTGCTATGCCTTGCCCCGTCCCTACCATCACCGTAAAATAAGCCCATAAATTACGTAAGGGGTAGCTCCTAGGTAAGAATGTGGTTCGATCTAAGCAGAGCAAGGCAACGTATAAACCCTAAGCTGGGATAGATGGTCCTTTGTAAAAAAATGACTGAATTTGATCCTCAAGAGCGCACAACATGAATTGTGTACTGCGTTCGAAAGCGACGATGCTGTAGGCAGAGACTCTTATCTTGCAATGGTATCGCTTGACAGGCTGAAGTCAAACAAACATTTCGATTCTGTCGCAGCAAAAGGAAGGTCCAACATGAATTTGTTACTTTTAATTGGGTCTCTATAATTAATATCGTCGCATGAGGGGTTGGGGAGGAGGGGGGCTAGGAGTCGTAGAATGAATCCATTCTCGTGAAAGCGCCTACGTTAAACTCAACAGGAACCATTTGTGTTGCGAGAGAACTTGTGGCATCCTGTGGCTTTATTCTTTTGGTTCTCAATTCTATAAGTGATCATTACCATTACCATGACATTGCCGAATTCTTCAAATCAGGGTGCACCATTTTGAGCGACCCATCGGGGACATCTTGGGGAGGTACTGGTTGTATTCGGCCTCAAGAGACATTTCAGGTTGTTGTTTTCCCCTTCATGAACGTGTATCCTACTTTGCTGGCGGCACTGCAGTGTCTTTCTGATCAATAGCGCTCTGTAGCAAAATTTCGGGCAAAACTGGTACTATGGTGGGCATGTTTGAGGTGGGTCGTTTCCCAGTAGGAAATTATTGTGAGCACACAATGACACCTTCACTTCACCCGGTACTCATTCGGTATCTGCTTGGAATGTTGACAGATGACGTCGGTCTCGTACGTGTCGCAATTGCAGACCAAGCAGAAATAGGAATCCGAGACGTTCTGTGTTTTTTGCTCATTTTTTTCCTACAATAAGCAGTCCAAAGGCTGAATAGAACTGATAAGACTTTTAACTGTTTCATCACTGTTTTCTCCTCGTTGGTATCCCTTTTCTGG